GCCTTCCTGCTTCTTGGGTCTTGTCCTCTCTTGGCAGCTGGGACCAGCACAACCTGCTCAGGTTAGCAACGGGCAGCCCGACACCACATGTACCTTGGTTTACACTTATTGCAACCTATCTGAGTGACTGTTACTGCCATGACGGTTTTTGAATAATGCTTCTGACCAATGTCAGCATTTCTGGGAAGGATCAATGGGCTGCAGTCAGCGGATTTGCTGATGCTCAGAAAACTAAAAATGGGAATTGTGAACACCCAGAGGACTCTGGTACCTGCTTAGTTTCAGCTAAGTGTGTGATGATTTGCTCATCAAGTGATGACAGGCTTTAGCAGCCTCCAGCCTGCAAACACTCCTGACTGCGAGGAGTTGCATCTCCCAGAGAGAAGGGGCATGCCAGTTCCGTCTTGTACCCCGACGAGTACCCCGAATCTGAAATAACCTTCAAGTGAACAATGTAACTGAACTTCTCCTTATCTGAAATTAACAGGGAACTAACATAGTTGTCACTTCCTGGTATCTTACCATCTGATCTGCTTTAGGATCAAAGGAAAGCTGATAAGGCTGCAGACAACAGGAGGTGCAAAGAGGTCATCCTCACCAATGGTACTTCTTCAAAATCAGCGTCAGCTTCTGCACACATTTTGCTGAATGATATTGAACAGGAGCTCGAAGATACACCCCTGACCAATCATCCCTTTCAATCTCAAATGCAACTGATCCAGTTGAGCTCTGTTATTTTTCAACTGGTTAATATCAGCTCAAGACAGAGTAGTGACCTTCCTCGTTCTGCTTCCATGGCATCATTCATACCAGCCTTCCTTGATTTCATACTGCCTTAACTGCCAGAACAGGAGCCCACCAGCTCTGACGCCAACCACACCTTCCTCCGACAGGGATGCTCTTTCTCCCGGGCTCAGGGGAGGAATCCTCCTGAGCCTCCTTCATGCTTTTGGCCACACATCAATGAATCTCTCCTTGCCAGACACCAGACACATTTCTCCCCTGAATGCCTCTGGAAATGTGAAGTAAAGAAAAAAAAAAGACCCTAGAGCCAAAGAAGAAAACGAACATAATTAAAAATTAATTTCAGTATAATGATTTAAGCATCCCATCACAACAGGCACCAGGCTGCTGTATGTTTGGCAACGCGGGGAAGACCTTTCAAGTTCCCTGCCTCGGGGACTGTTGTCAGTTTTAATAAGTTTTACCCTGCAGCTGTGAGCAAGGCTAATTGAACAGTACAATAAAGCCTACTTTTCACTGGGCAGAAGCATACTTGCTATAGGACCTTATGTCTCTCTCTTTCACCCTGCACCACAGCTGAGGAGGAGATGGGATGTGAGATGCAGGTGGATCACTCAGTTTGTCATCTCTCAGCTGAGAGGCAGCACCATTTCTGCCTGACTGCAAAGGAAACACATGGGAAAGACGTTTGGGATGGCACTGGCTGAGAGAAGCAGGGTGGCCAAATGTCAGGGGCGAGTCCAGCACTCAGCCTCCACTAAGCCACAGATCTAAAGGCCACCAGCACTACTCTTTTGCCTTTGTGAGCATTACAGCCATTGCTAAACTTTCTGAACAACAAAATGCTCATTCCTCCTCAAGACATGCATGAAACAAGGGAGGTAAAAAGGCACGTGCCCGTGTCTTCTGCAGCTCAGTGTTGACAATGCTAGTTGTGGACATACTGCATAGCTCCCACTCCTTTCTTCACTGGCTTTGCCAAATCCTAATCATCTTGTTTGCCTCTGCTCCTTCCTCCCAGATGCTCCATCTCCTGATCCCTTCCTTGAAGATGCTGTGCCTCTTCCAAGACGTTGGCTGCTTGCCAGTCTCCTGTTTTCCGTTCCCTCCCAGTTTGCCCAGCGTCTGGGGGTTTTCAATACCTCCTCCGATTACCTCATCAAAAGGCAAACTGGCCTTTTTCTTGTGGAAGGAGGGAGCAACAAGCACAAAACATTGTTATAAAGTCACTTTAATTCCACGCTTTGCAATACATGCCCAGTACCTCAGAGAGGCAGCAGCTCAAGAGTGGAAGGTGTCAGATACACAGCACCATAACGGATCAAGAAACTCTGGCCAAGAACCTTGAAACAACTCCTTTCTCCTGTGAAAATCTTCACTGGGCCATCGCATCTAAGCATCGCAAACAGGACCGATAAGTTTAAGATCTTTTCTTGACCAACAAGCTGCAAATCAACCCACTCCGGAAGTATGAACGGGTGAGATGCACCCTTGTTTTGTGGGGCCACAGGCATGGACCAGAGTTCCCTTTCCCAGCTCACCAGCCACCTCCTTGGCCTTGAAAAGCTTTCACAGTAGCAGGGGGAGAGGAAAACAGAAAGCTGGCTAATCCTGAGTTGCTTAATGGACTCAGATGCCTCCAGTTAACATGTCTTTATATACTGCCCTGTCCCCACTACATAGCTTTGCACATTTTAAGGCTCAACTTTGAAATAAGCCTCGTTAACCAGATAATTCTTTCTCATCCAAACCTGCTCCCCAGAGAGTTCTGCAAGATGTTTAGACAGAAACAGCTGCAGAAGAGAGCAGACTTTCTCTGAAGTTTATGAAATGATGGGGAGTGAGCAAAACTGAGAGCTGGAGAAGGTACATCAGAAGCATGACAGGGAGACATCACATTGCGTCATACCTTCACCAACTTTGTTCCTTAACAGTTTAATTAAATCAGACAGATGCAGAAATAACCAGGCAGTTCTAATGCATCTCCCTGTGAGGCAGGGAAGGTATTGCCTTCCCTAGCCAATATGTGGAAAATGCACACGCTGACAGATGCCATTCACACTAGCAATGCCAACGCAGGAATAACAGAACATTTTGCTGCAGGAAGACGTTAACCACTTTGTGCCAGCACCAACTTTGCTAATCTACAGCCAGCTTCTCAAAGGGATTTAACTGCATTCTCTTTTTTGTTTGAAAAGTCCCATCTTGCCTACAAACGTGCTTAAGGCAGGATGGTAGCATATGCTCGAATATCTTTAATAACCTGAACAAGTAAGGGCTTCATTACCAGAAAAGAGAGGAAGGTCCTAGTGAATTATGTAGATCCCCCCAGAGTACTACAAATAAAACTATTCAACTGGCCTGCACCACCATCTATTTTGCGTATATCTCCCATATCACAGAGGAAGTCTCTCTGAAATTACTGAGAGGAAGGTTTAAACATTTTATTGGGACTATTTTTCGAAACATTTTTTTGCCTGCCAAGACAGGTCATGAATCAAAAATCAACAGGGTTCTGTAAGGAAAAAACCCAGCTATCCAATGCTTAAAAGCACCTCTGAAACATACCTAGAACTGATTTTTCTATGCATAAAAGCACCATGATCTGAAAGCCCTCTGGACCTAATGGGCTCAGAAATAAATTGAATACCCCGCTGGAACATTTTCAGTCTTCAACAGCTCCTGCAATACTGTACAGCCACAGAACAACAGCCCTAAGAACTGTCAGACAAGGCTTGACACAATCTGTCATGGACACTGGGTCCCAGGAAGAAGACAGATGGAGCAGGTGCATGTGTGGGGGAGGAGGTGACATACCTGAAGGAAAGGAAAAAACATTTTTGTGACAGACCAATTTGAATTTTTTTCCATAATACATTTTAAAGCATACCTTTGGAATTGATGAAGAGACTGCAATATTAAAATAGTGCTGAAAGCAGTAAGTTACTGAGCAGAATACTGATGAAGTGGTCAGAAAGGCACAGCACTTTGCATTTAACACTTGGCCCTGCCAATTATTCTCACCACAAACAGGAACATTAAAGATTTTTCTTCATCCAGAGGAAGGTCATACTAGAAGCTGGTAAGGGGAAGGTGTTCCAAAACCTAATGCTTTTGTATCACACCGTTGTGTCCCTGCTCCTTTGTATTCATCTCCTCTGAGGATGGAAGGCAGTCAAGGATGTTTCTGAAGAGTTTCCTGTGCTAAGTAAAGGTAATTTAGCACAGAAAACTTTCCACTCCTTACTCATTTTAATTTTTGCTTCTCCATGAAAGGTGGGGAAGAAAACACGTAGAGTTCTCTTTACATGTTAGGACAGGAACACTATTTTTGAAAGAAATCAGATCTCTCCTTGAAAAAAAGAAGTGAAAACTTTCTAGATTATCATGAAAAAAGTTGTTTGACTTCTACAATGTGAGCTAGAAGACTGACAGAGATTGAAAACTCGTGTAGAATACAACACATCAACGTTGTTTCAGAGACAGCTAACTGCAGGGGAGAAAAAAAACACACTGCAGCTCATTACTGTGTTTGTTAAAGACACTGAGTAGATGGAGCTTATAGTCGACCAAATGAGATTTTGCCCAACAAAAAAATTGGTCAATTCGTGCAGTGCACATACAAACACTATGTAGAGAACCGTAACAAAAACATTGACTGCTATGTCTGGAGAATGAATGTGAACACAGGGGTATGGAAAGAGTAGAAGGATCAGAAGAAAAAGTAGAAAGGTTATTAAAAATGGCATGTGTTGATGGCACGTAGATAAGCACGTCACGAAGATCCCATTACATCTGCATGTAGCTCCTCAGGACGCCCAGGTTGGGAGAGAAAGACAATGGATAAATCCTAATGACTCACAGAAGTGGGAAGGTTGGAGAGACTGATCATAGCTAGCTCCCAAAGGGTACAGAATTGCACCTCTAAAACCAGCAATAGGGCTATGAACTTAAGAAGAACCAAGGCAAGTTGAGGAGGACACAATAGCTAGCATCCCTTGTCCCCATGTCATCACAGGGAATCCTCAGCAGACCTTCTGGGTACAAGTGTTTTGGTGCCTGAATGCTGGGCAGACTTGTGGCATCTTGGTGATTGTGAGTACGTGGGTATGAGAATGAGTGAATGAGATGGTTCGGTATTACAGTAGTCACCATCCCTTCCTGTAAGGTTTTGCACTGAGCTTTGCAAAACAGTAGAAACAAACACTGCAGAAACATTGCAACTTCCTAACACTACTCTACCACGGTTTCTGGCATCCCTCTCGAAAGAGGCATGAAACCACTTTGTTACATTAGAATTCCCTGCCCTTTAAGATAGGTGGATCCTGAATGTCAAACCTTCTACACCATGGAGTATTTCCATGCTGTATTTCCCATCCTACAGACAGTGTACAACAATGCGTCAATCCTTGTAATTATTAACAATTATAAGGTTCTTTTTGGAGGGAAAGACATTAGTCACATAATTTATGCAGTTTCTGTGGCTGAATTATCCCCTCTAATCTCCACTTTAAGATAACAGTCAAGTAGTTGTTGCATTCTTTCTTTAGGATCCTGTGGAACAGAAACATAGTGCAACAGATTGGATAAGTTTAGAAAGATAAAAGGGACCAACACCACTTTATCTCTGCCAGCGGAAACAGGGATGCATAGACAATGCTGACAGGCAAACTACGGCCTCTTTAAACTCTATGGTAGAGTCATTCTGATGCGAGACATTAAAATTTTAAAACAGTAACATTAAGGTAATGGGGAAGAGCGAACTGCAGATCAATCCTTAATTGCTTTAAGACCAATAACCTTTAACTGCAGTATTTTACTAAGCTTAATTCGTGTTCTTTTTGGGGGAGAGGGAGTGAGCACCTTTTTAACGTTTCCATTTCTATTATGGCTTTTTCTGAAGTGACTGATATGGGCCCTTTCTCAGTGACAGGATCCTACCGCTAGATGGGTCACTGTCCTCCATCAGGCTGCTGCTAGTTCAAGTTTCTAGGAGACATCATCTTGAGTACTGCACTTAAACTCTTTGGTACACCATCTCTGCCATACCTTGAGGAACCAATTTAATGAATAGGAAAAATTTTTATTGTTGCTTTGTAATAAGATGAATAAACCCATGATTCCAATGAAAGGGGCATAAAACAACTGGATAAAAGGAATGTGACATAATCAAGTAATATTTTAAAATAAGGAGGCACAAAAATTTTTTTCCAAATGCCTTTTCCTATGATTTCCACAGCTCTGTCTCACATGAACGTTTGTGTGGTCTGCTAGATCTGCTAGACCAGTGCAAGGCAGTTGGAAAGAACGTTACGTTAGTTATCAACCACGCACTAGTGTGGGAGGAAATCTTAGTCCATAAAGGTGGAAAGGTAGAGTCAAAAAAAAAAAATAATCGTAGAGCAGGACACGGATCAAACACTTTCTCTTCTTTCTGGCTCTAATGCCACAGGCTAGGACTCCCTAAGGAAAGGCCAGGCTGAGCTGGAGGGCCTTCGCCTGTCCCAGAGAACATTCTGCACTGCATGCAGCATGACAGAGAAGTACACATACAGTCCTATGTGCCTCTGAACACAACAGCACTTCCACGCGTTTCTCTTCAGGGATGTCGATGCTAGCATTGGCCACAAGGAGAAGCCTGTTAGACTGAGGCAGGATCTCTCATGAAGGAGCTGCATGATGGGGAGAGCAACGCCACTGGAATTTTCTGAAAGAAGTAACCCGTAAAATCCTTTGAGGCTGGAACGAGAGTCCCAGACAGCTGCTGAGCTTCCTGTCAGGCAGCTGGATTCATTTGAAGTATATGCCCTAGTTCCTCCCCAAACCCAAGTTCAGCTTGGTTCATTCTGTTCATTTTGTTCTTCCACACAAAAATCCACCAGTGAGTAACTGAAAATAAAGCTATCTATACCGGTCTTATGAGCTGTTTAGGCTCCTCCGTATCCCCAGAACGTACCAAGCCAATTAATTGAAAGGGACGCTTGAATAAGATCTCCGTTCCCTCCGCAGAGGGCGGCCTTTAACTGCCTAACAGGCCCAGGTGACCCTGCTGGCAGTTCAGTTTTCATAGCCCCGCTGCATAAGGATGAAACCTGCAACACTTCCCCCTTGGCAGGTTCTCCCTCTCTCCTCCTTCTCTGAACTCACTGGCCTGGCTTTGCATTTGCTGGGCCCTGGAGCGCCTGCCTGAAGATTAGCTTTTTCAGCTGATCCAGTTTATTGTCTCTTAGGGCATCTCGGATGGCGCTGAAGAAGCTGAAGTAGTGCTGAAAGTTGTGCGTCATGAGCAGGACACCAGCTAACAACTCGTTGGTCACAAGGAGGTGATGGACATAGGCTCGAGTATGCCTCTGACAACAGTAACAGGTGCATCCTTCCAGCAAGGGACCAAAATCATCCTGGTACCTAAGGAGGAAGTAGCATTGGATAACATCAAAGGTAAGAAAACACATTCAAGCAATAAAGAACACCCACAGTTACTAGGTAGCCTTTGGGGGACCTGAGCCCCAAAGTCCTGAAGGCTTGAGTCCCATTGCTGTAGGATGTGTTGATATCCAACCCCAGCACCACTGACATTAAGGACTCAAATAGCATGCACAGCCTCACTATGGGGACAAGAGGCCACACACAAGTCAGGGGATAACAACACAGCTAACAAAGAAGAGGAGCCTTATCCGTGCCTTCCCTGACAGAAAAGCTGCAGCACGAGACTCACCTCACGAGATATCACCGAGTCTATAGAAGAAGAAGCCATCAGAAACAAGGATTTACTGATTCTGCTTTTCATAGAACAACTTGCTTCTGTATGTAGTATTCCTCTCTACCATGAACCACACTGTTCTCACAGAGAGACAAGCAGTAAAGCGGGCCCAGGTTTTTGTCAAGTATCTAGAAACTGCAGGTGCCTCACTCCGCTTGTGCCCAAATTGAGTCAGAAAGTGTCCTCCACAATTGCTTAAAAAGATCCAGTGTCTCAAGATGACTCAAGTTAGACGCGAAAGAACAAAACGATCCTCAGACAGCCCTTGCTAAGACGTCTGTCTTTCACCTGGAACACAGCTATGGCCGTAGTACTTCTGCTGCAAAAGCGGTCAGAAAATCCCTGGCTTTAGGCCAGGCAAATGATGGTGCTTTCATTCATACATTATTGCCTGCTATCAAGCTAGAACACTTGCCCAGCACTTTCCATTCAATGTCCAGAAGTATTTTCTTCAACGCTTTTATGTCTTTTGAGTCTCCCATCCAGCTACTGGCCACATGCAATCGAATACAGAGGACAAAAGCATCGTATTTAGTAATATAGCTGCAGATCTCCTCCTCGGAGATTCACATACCTTTTGTCCTTCAGAAATATCTCAAATGGTGTTATTTCTGGGTCAACTCTGGAGATTTCATCCTGGTCTTTTTCAGCATTGTTTTTCTCTGCGTCCTGGACTGCATTTTGTTTTAAAACTGTTTAAAAATAAAAAAGGGAACAGCCTTTTATCAACAGGCAGCAAGGGAAGAGAAAAGTTAGAAACCTGACACTTAGATGTTTCTCCTGCTCTCTTGCTGGATAAAATCTCTTGCCATAAGTTTCCATCTCCATCCCAAACAAATGAACTGTTTTTACTAAATTATCACAGGTTAGCTGAGACAAATACAGCTTTAGATTATCAAAATGGAAAGAGACAAGTGGAAACTGATCTACTAAACCTAATGAAGAGTAGAACTGAAACAGTAGAATAACTTCTTGCTGCTCTGCTGAGCTGAATTCTTAATAAAACGTCAAAAATATTTCCAGCCTGAACTTCAGGCTGAATGGAATGCAATCACCTGAACAAATTGATTTTATTGAGAACTTCTTAGAACAGACAGGCAACTCATCTGTATTCAATCATTCTACTTCCCATGCCGTTATCAGGCTGACATTTGGATTTTTCTTTCTGAACAGCTGGATTCAAGAGGCTGGTAGCATTGCTGCAGAAAATAGAGATGTAGATTCCACATCAGCCTTTTCAGCAGTCTACCGTAAATTAAAAAAATCATTCCATAATTTTGCAGGTTTGCATTTTTTCAGGCGTATTCTTAAGTAGGATATGCCTCCAGAAACATCAATATTATTCCCGTTTGCACAATCCATGTCTACTGACTGTTATACAGACACGGAACAAAGATTGTCCCTACCCCACAATCTTACAGTTTTAAGAACAAGGTGAGACAAGGTAAAGCACAATTTTAAAAAAAAAAAAAAAAAAAAAAAAAGAAACAGGACATCTCATTCTATTCAGCTGGCTTTGACTTATCCAAGCATGAAAAGCCACTTAGGCTTTTTGGGCCACTGGCTGAAAAGCCACTAGGCATCTCCACTCAGGAGAAAAAAAAATGTAAAATGCTTTTCTGTATTAAAAACATTCACTAAGTCCACAGAAAGATGACTGCTTGAAACATATTCGACAAGGCCCATTTAAGCATCTATTTCATAGCACAATGAGTTATAAACACCTTATCTTTGTTCTGATATTAACTGATGAACGCAAGGACAGACACAAGGGAAGCTGTCCAAAGAAATGGGATCTATAAATATGGTAAGCTAGAAAGGAGAAGGAATTTCAAAAAATATATTATTAAAACAAAGAAACACAGACTCAAAACAATTCTAGAGACCAGTTATCATAGAATCCCCACTTAAATAGGTACAGCCTTCACCGCTAAGGGTAACGGAAAATTTGCCAATGGTGTCAAACAAACAGTCCTACTGAGAGTTGATAAATACAGTTAAACCTATAAAGACCTCTGTTTAACAAGCGTTTCAGAAATACTTAAGCATACTGTGGCTAACCAGAAATTCAGATCCCAGACTGAATTCAAGTTCTCTTCAGTAGATTTCACTCCCAAATACACAGCCTTCAAAAACAACGCTTGACAGTGATATGCCATTTTTTTCCCAGTGGTCACTGCATTTACTTCAGGGACAAAACTCAACTACAGGAGATCCCTCAAGAGCATAAATTATGCTTGACACAATCCCGGCTGACACAGTCAGGACTATAACGACCACTGGAAAGACCACCAAGAAGCTTACCTGCTGCTTCAGGATCAGGATCGTAGTCATAGCTGAAAGATAAGGCACAGCCTCGCTCTGTCACCTGAAAGGGAAAGAAGCTCTCAAAAATGTCCACTCCTCTTTCAATGCACTCAAGCACCTCATCTGGTTTGCCTATACCATGGATGATTCTGTAAGAGAAGCACAAAAAGACAGACCCAGAATATTCTGAGTAGAAGCAAGCAAATATCTCAAGGAAAAAAACACATGTCCAACATATGTAGTTTAACCCAGCAGCTGCTAAACAGAGGGCAGGTAGATACAACAGTCATCGCTCAGAATACCGTGCCCTTCCATTTCCATCTTCAGCCTATCCAGTACACAGCAACTGGCTTTTCCCGGTCTCCCATTTGGAAGACAGCACTTTTCCCTCATTTACCGAGGAAAACCTCTTTGTGTTCACTATGTTTGAAGTGATTCAGTTTCTTTTACACTCACATAAATGTATTTAAGTTCAAGATTCACTCAACACTTACACCTTACAACGGATATTTTCCTTATTTATGTATGTGCCTGTGGTCACTACCAGTTTCCAGACATAAGGACTCCTTTGCTCGGTAGCTATTAGAAGGCAGTCCGAAAGACTTGATCAGGAGCAGCAGTAGATGGCTGGTCAAAGACACAAGTCCTTCAGGTGACAGCCACATTGTACAGCACTTGGAGGACTGCCTGAAGGAGGATGCACTAACGAGAAATGCCTATGAAAAGGGAAAAACTTCCTTGCTCCGTTTCTTCCTTCCTCTCTCCATTCTACCTGCTCAAATGTACCTTTTCACCCTCATCGATGCCCTTTATTCTCCAAAGGATGTCTCCAATTCTCCAAAAGAAATGATTTACCCAATAGCCTAGGCTGTAACATCTTCTGGGGCATGGCATTCAAAGCCAGGAAGAGCCCAGCTGGACTGCCATCAGTCAAATGTCTTTTAACAGAGATCCTGCTGTTAGCCAAATTTAGCTGGCAGCTTCCCTGAGGGTGGGTGAAGCAGAAGAGAATACAGCAGCACCCGTTCCCCCGCAGGTGCATGGCTGTGCTGAAAGCAATAAAACCTAATATAGGGCAATGATCTAAACAGATAATTAGGAAAATACACAGGGGCTGACAAATGAAGTCACAAGCTGCCATTTTTAGTCACTTTTCTAAGTACTCCAATTAAACTGATGAGCACAGAATATGGATAGGAGAAGATGTACAGCATGAGTTTCTCATGTTTCATGCTCCTGCAACAGGAACAAAATGCTACTCAATAGTTAAAAGAATAGCTCTGCATATGTGATCAAAACCCTGGCTAAAACTTATCTTTGTATAGGTGAGCACAAAGATTTGATCTTGCAAGTGTTTTGCTGCTATTGAAAAGGCAAATAATTTTTACCACAACACTTCAGCATCTTTAGTGACCTGAAAGGACCCTAAAGGATTTGTAAGATCATTTCACCATCACGCAAAAAAGCGGCCATTTCTTGGGTGAAACACATTAAGTTTTTGCCTTCTAAAGATTTCCATATTGGGGTAGAACACAGCCGCAAAACAGCTCTCCAGCCAAGACGGCAAGGGCGATTTACGAAAGCAGGATTGTCTGAAATTCACATAAGGTATATACAAGACCCCCTAAGGCTAACCAGCTTTCTTCTTACACAGAGGTCAGGAACACTTGTCTTAACCAGATAAGCAAACTATTTGATAGATGAGGCAGATGCACTGGTAGCCATGAAGGTTAGCTGAGCAGACTGGACTTTAATGCTCCCAGGGGATCTTTTTTAAGTAGCTCAGCCAGATACGATGCAACAACACAGCAAACCTCCTAATTCTCAGGAAAATTCAAACCTCAGGCACTGCTAAGGATGAACAAACCACAACATCAGACACATGCTTTGGAATTTAATTTCCTTTTGAATACCATTAAGTCAGAGCAGTGCTCAGCTAGCAGAGGGCAGCACAGCTACAGAAAGACAACCGAGCCTGAATCAGTCTCTTCAGGAAATGACGGGGGGGGGAAAAAAAAAAAAAAAAGCACCTGTCATCCAAGAGCAGCAGCAACAGAAGCAGTAAGAGTATTCCAAAACACAAAAAAGCAAGGAAGCTCAACC